ATCATCTCCCTGCTGGAAGGAAGAGGCTGAGCAATAGCATTAACCCAGCTGGGAGAGGTCCAAAGGAATGGAAATAACAGGATACAAGCAGGGCATAGGACTAGTATTGGAGACTTTGGAATTGGAGTATTGTGCAGCCCTGGCTGGTGGCAGTGCTCTAGTGTCAGTGTGCTGCTCCTCGTTTGTGTTCCTTCTGGGTGAAGGAACTTGGGGGACACCTGAGGTTCTCCTTCCCAGGCTGCATTCCCCCCCTGCTCCAGAGCAGGGCGCTAGGCTGAGATGGTGCACACTGTGTTCCAGTCACACAGACTGAAAGTCTTGATCCTCTCAGTAGTTTTCGGGTTTGGGGGATAATTTTGGTGAAGGTTTGCAGCAAGGTGAGCTGAAATTGTGGAATCCTGGTAGAATCTGAATCCACTGAAATGGCTTTTCTTTTTTTTTCTTCCTGCCTCTTCTGCCTTTGTCCTCATGACAAGACCCCACCACCACCTGCAGATCGCTTTGGCCAGGGTGGTGCAATGGAAGGCCTTGGAGCAATGGGAGGGAACCCACCTGCCTTCAACAGAGGAAACCCAGGGGGTGACTTTGGCCCTAACAAGCGTCGCAGATACTAACAGGATAAAGCTCCCCCCTGCACACACCCCAAAGAGGAAAGGAATCTTGGCAGGCCATATAGGGTTCAACTCAGGGCAGTGGGGGGGGATATTAAAAATAGTTCATTAGGGCCTGGTTTGGTAAAGCCACTCTGGGACAAGGGGAGTGCAGTCTGAATGATAAAGGTTTTAGAAAATTTCATGTGGTGCATTCCTATAATTTCAATGTGAAAAATGGTTTCTGGGAGGCTGCCATAGTTGTTCAGTAATGGTGACATCTGGCAAAGACCCTCATGCCTTGACCATTCCAGGTTCCTATTTGCAGCTGGAGTCCTGAGAAAAAAACTAGAGAAAATTACAGTATGTCAGGGCATTTTTTTTAGTGTCATGTACCTGGCATATGAGCACAGGGAAGTCTGAAGAAGTTGGGCAGCATCTGGGTATTTCACAGCTCCCATGATTATGTAAATTTATATAGCTCCAAATGATCCGTCATGTAGTGAACTGGGGGAGTTTTTATGTTTTTTTCTTTTTGTCCTTTTTTTTTTTTCTCCTAACTTGTAGTTCTACTTTTTTTATCTGGACCATCTGTTTCTTTAAAGCAGTTGACTGTCATGTGCAGCCTGAATGGCTGGGAGGCTCTTGTTTGGATGGATTTTTTGATAATGTGTTGTAATGCTGTTTATTTTTACTGGTAGTAAAGTACAATCTATTGAACAACGATACTGTATCTCATGCTGAAGATTTAACTGAAACCAATGTTTGTATAACCTTAACCTTGCCTGTCTTTTGTGTAGAAGTACTACAAGATTTTTCTTTTAGTGTAAACTGTTTGAACACAAGCTGTAATTGTCCCACTAACAAGGTTGAGTTTGTCTGAGGAATGTTACAGGAATGCATTATTAAAGTGGATTTTAAGCCTTTTTCATCTGGTGTCTTTTCTTTTTTTTTTTTTTTAATTTAAAAAATGTCTGCGTATGGGTTGAAGTGAATTAAGCTTCAGATGATACCACAAAAGTTGTTCTTGCATAGCTCTGTGAAGAGGGTGTTCAACCCCAGAGAACTTGCTAACCATTCTCCTTGTCACAGAATGAGTTTTATGTGTTGGAAGACCTTCAACTTCAGCATTTCATGCCATTCTGGGGTGTATTAAGAAGAGTGTGGCCAGCGAGTGAAGGGAGGTTCTCCCCCCTGGTGGGGCCTCACCTGGAGCACTGTGTGCAGTTCTGGATTCCCCAGTTCAAGAAGGACAAGGAACTTATGGAGAGAGTCCAGCACAGGGACACAACGATGATGAAGGGACTGGAGCATCCTGTGAGGAAAGGCTGAGAGAGCTGGGGCTGTTCAGTTTGAAGAAAAGGAGGCTGAGGGGGGATCTCATCAGTGCTTACAAATGTCTAAAGGGGGTGTCAGGAGGATGGGGCCAGACTCTTCTCAGTCAGAACAAGGGGCAAGGGGCACAAACTGGTACACAGGAGGTTTAACCTGAATGAGAAAATACTCTGAGGGTAACAGCACTGGGACAGGCTGCCCAGGGAGGTTGTGGAGTCTCCATCCCTGGAGACTCAAGTTTTCCTTTAAAAATTGTGGTTTCGTCCTATAGGGAGGGAAAGATGAAATAATTACTCCAGAGGTTTTACTGGTTTAACCCTGTCATTTAATGGTTTATGATTGGCCTGGAATGGGATGATGGATAAGAAGCTGGATTCAATAGAGGCTGCAGAGAATGCTTTTGTTTCTCTGCTTGTTTTGTTTTGTTTTCCACATTGAAAACATCAGCTCTAGCCAGCTTGCTGAGGTGATGGATTATTTGATGTTATGGATGTGAAATGAGGGGAAAGGAACGACAAGGAAGGGAAAGAAAGAGCGAGGTAAGTCAAGGAATGTTGCTTCCATTATATATCAAATTAAGTGCACATAAGCCATGCAGTCTTGATTTTTAATTCCCAGCTGGCTCATGCCTTGTAGGCTGTTTCAGAGGTTTTGGTTACAACCGTCCCTGCTCACATGGTGACTTGTCCTTTACTTGGAGCAGTGCCCTGGAGGAGGGCTGGACTCAGCAAGGCAGCCCTGTGGCCCAAATGCAACTGCCGGAAGACGTAGCTTCAAACTAGATGCCCCTGTGATGGGTGTGCTGTCTAGCATGCTCTTTGCCATCACCTGAATCTCATCTCTTTTTCCTCAGTTTTAGAGCACCACCTCTAGCAGAGCCTTGGGATGACTGAGTGGTTCCCCTGGAGCTAATCTCAGTTTGATGGTGGACACCCAGTGTCTGTCTCCTCCTTACCTTGTCCTCTCTGGGGACCCTCCCCTTGAGCTGGCAACTGTGGACACCTCAATTTACTGTAATGGATTAAAACTGGAAGAGGAGAGATTTGGGTTGGATGTCAGGAAGAAATTCTTCACCACAAGGGTAGGAAGGCACTGGAACAGGTTGCCCAGGGAGGTTGTTGATGCCCCTCCCTGGAGGTGTTCAAGGGCAGGTTGGATGAGGCTTGTGCAGCCTGGTCTGGTGGGAGGTGTCCCTGCTGATAGCAGGGAGGTTGGAACATGATGATCTTTAAGGTCCCTTCCAACCTTGACCATTCTGTGTTTCTCTGATTCTATGTGCCCAGTAGGTTCTATCTTCTGAGCTACCTCATTCCCTGCATGGCCACCTGCCACTGCCCCTCAGGTGTTGAGGGGGCTCTGTCAGGCCACGGTCCCCCCCCAGCGACCTGCTAGTCTCTCTGCAACGAGCCTCTGTGTGTGAGGCTCCATAAACATCCTCTTGGCATTTACTCTGAAGTGTTAACCCAAGCTCCAGATTCTCACTGGCACAGGGATGGCAGCAGCTGCAGCCTTGCTGACCACTCATGGAAAAGACAAGGAGATCTGAAACCCGATAGCTCTGCTCAGCCCCCGTGACTGCAAATTCCTCTGTCACAGGGCTCTGCCTGGTTTCCCAAGTCCCAAGTGATCCCTCCTGCCTGAACAGAGGCTCTGGATACCAGCAGTGGTTTTTTTTACCCATCTTTGGGACTGGTGGGTCACTGTTGTGTCTTGAGGCACTGCAGTCCTTCAAGGGAGGAAGCAGCTTGGAGCCCCAGGGCTCATGCTGATGTCATGGTTCTCCAGTGCCCTCACATTTCCCTGGCAGTTTTTGGGTTGCATAGAATTCTATGTGGGTTAACACACAGGTATAAGGGCCTTCCCCTCCAGAGGGAATGCCTTTTTTGCTAAGGAGATGACAAGGAAAAGCCCAATGCTGCTGCTGGCCAGGGTGTCTCAAGTTGGGGGTGGCAGAACTGAGCTGGAGGTGGAGCAGCAGGGCAGCCTGAAATGAGTCCAGAGATATCTCCCTGGTCAGCTCCAGAATTTTGGTGAGGGTTAGTCCTAACTTTGGATTCTGGGGTGGCAGCAGATCCTGCAGGCTGTTGTGGGGGTATTAGCTAGGTTAAACTAACACTCTGGGGCAGGGAGGGGGTTATATCAGCCACAGCAGATGCTGTGGGTTCCCCTGCTGAGCAGACTCCCTGGGCAGCTGCTGCCTGTAGGACTTGCCCTTTGTACTGTCTGATAGTGCCAAGGGCTTATGTCAAACCTGGTTCCTGAGCAGAAACACTCCAGGTGCTGTGTTCTTTGGCAGGTCAGGGCAGCACCAAGGAAACAGCTCTCTCTGCAAACAAGAAGCAAAAATAAAGTTTGGTTTAGCTTCCTTTAGGAACTACATAAAACTCAAGAGGACTTCCTTTAGTAGAGGAAAACCCTTGGGTCCCAGAAAAGGAGCAGGGATCTCCTGGATATGCAGAGCCCACGTAGTATTTTGTGCTCTTCTGTGATGACAATGATCTTCCTGGGGACAGATTTCATCCTTGGGGTTGCACAAGACTCTGCATTGAAGGATGTCTTGGCCACAGGCATTGCTTTGGTCTGGTGCTTCTGTCCAGCAGATGGTCATGTCTTTTGGGGAGATCAGCACAGGTTTTGCCCTGGGACCCTGGAAGTCTCTTCCTTCCTTTTGCATGAAACTTTTAGCTGCTTCTATCAATGCTAAAGAAACTGAGAGCAGTTGGTCAAGACGAGTCTCAGGTTGTCTTGAGCCTGAGCACTGAGGGTGGCACTGATGTTCCTGTGCAGAGCCACCCTGCAGCACCCATCCTCTCTGCTGGGCACGGGGACAGGACAGAAATGCCTCTCAAGATAATGTGGACGCCAGGCCCCGTCAGCTGCTGAGCTGTTATGTCCATCTTTAGCCTGGTCTCCAGTTACCAGCCACCTCCTCCAGCTGCCTCTAAAGATAAGCAAAGCCACCTCCCGGTGCCTGGGCTGGAATCTGCAGGGAAGCGGAGGGGGGATCACAGGCAGGAATGAGACTGATAGGATTTTTGTGGAAGGAGTGAAGGACGCCTGGAGTCGCCCTGAGCTATGGCTCTGCTGTGCTACAACAAGGGCTGCGGGCAGAGGTTTGATCCTGAGCACAATGCCAAGGGTAAGTGGGCTCCTCTGCCTTGCGCTGGTGGATGGGAATGTGATGCCGCTTTCCCAGCCTGCAGCCTCAGCTGCCATGCCATGGCCTGAGCTGCCCAGGAGGGCTGAGCTGAGCCCACCACAGGCAGCCCGTGTGGCAGGAGCTGGCTCAGGAGCTGCAGAGTGTCACGGGTGGCTTGTGGGCAGGATTGTTCCTCCTGAAAGGTTCTGTCTGATTTTACCTTTTCAGATTCCTGTCTGTATCACCCAGGCATCCCTATCTTCCATGATGCCCTGAAGGTGAGTGGGGCAGGAGCCAGGGCTGCAGCTGCAGGGAGGGATCCTGTTCCCAGCAGGATTGCCCACCCCTGACCAGTTTGTCATCTCCTGGTGCCTAGGGCTGGTCTTGCTGCAGGAAACGCACAACAGACTTCTCTGAGTTCCTCTCTATAAAGGTGAGCAACACACCAGCCCAAATTAACCCACTGCTTCTCTGCCCTCTTCTCCTTGTCCCTGTCCTGTGCTGTCCCATCCCCATCCCGTGCCATGGCTGCCCCCTTTGCCCTGCTGGCTGGGGATTTCCTACCTGCTTCCAAGGAGCATGCAAGAAAGGGTGCTGCTCCCAAGGTGCAGGGCCAGCACTGCTGGAGAAGGGTGCTGGAAGGGGCTGAAATCTGTCGCCAGGATCCTGCAGGATGAGCACAAATGTCCCAAGTGTCAGCACAGCTGGGAATGTCTGAACAGTCCTGGGGGAGGGAAGGAGGCAGCAGGTGCCCAGGGACATGGGGGAAACACTTGTTGCCTTTCAGCTGTTAGGCTGGGGTGCAGCAGAGCTGCCATCTGCCTGCCATGGCCCTGGTGAGGCTGCCACACCGTCTTGTCCCCTGGAATCCCTGCAGACAAAGCCCCTGCCCTGGTTCAGGGTCCAAGCCCATCCCTCGCAGAACACAGAGCCACCAGCATGTGGAAATTTGCAGGGTTTGGGGGCAGGTATTGGCCATCAGGTTAGGGAGGGCAAAGCAGGCATAGGTCTTGCCTCTGCTGCTTAGGGATGCACAAAGGGGTTTCACAGCAAGGAGAAGCCTCCTGAGCCTTTCAGCCAAGAGGAGACCTCAAACAAACCAAAGGCCAAACCAGTGGAGGAGCTCATCATCCAAGGACCAAAATCAGCTGAGAAGATGCAGAAGGAAAGACCAAGGTGAGACCAGCTCAGCCACCAGCTCATCCCTGCTGTGCTGCTTCTGCCCGTGTCCTGCCCTGCTGCCTCCTCAGGAGAGGCAACGACACTCACATGGCAAAAAGAAAAACCCCTCTCTTGGCTTTTGCTGCTGCTGTTTCCCAGCTCTGACGAGCCGAGACGACCGCTGCCAATTAAAGTATCCAGGTCTCTGGAGCAGGCACTGGAGAAACTGAACTTGTCCTCCAAGGAGGAGACACCTGCAGGCACAGGTAGAGACGGGCTGAGGGGAGACCGGTGGGGCTGCACGGGGCAAGTGCAGTGCGGGGTTTTGCGGGGCAGGTCCCGCGCAGGAGGGCAGGAGGCACCGGGAGCTCAGCCAGCACCGAGCTGGGGAGCCGGGGGGGCTGCAGGGAGGGTCTG